TTTTAAAAACAAAAAATTTTTTTTTTTTTTTTTTTTTTTACAGTGTAGACACATTGTTGAAGAAAAAAAACTAACTTTTTCTAGTTACCATTTCTAACCACTTTTTCAATAAAATCAATTTCCTAAAGGATAAATCCTGGCCCTAATTTTAATAAGATTCACTAATTAATACATCACATTACGAAAATAAAACAGATTGCATGCAAACGTTGACTTGAAGCCACAAAGTATTATATTCTAGATTAGAATTTCTCTCTACTGTTAAAAATAAATCTTGTCTTCATACATGCCAGTCCAATACTTTAGACTTTTTCTTGAATTGCATAATCATTTCAAACTGAATTATGCATTACGAATTATGCAACACTGATGCCATAGATTTTTCAAAACAGAAAATAAAGAGATTGTACACATGCATTATTCTACACATCTACACCATCAAGTGTTATGGAGGGTCACAGCGGTTAATGGGCGTGTTTAAGAGTGTGTGACACTTTCGGATATAACCAACAAAGTTGTTATGGTGATGATAGTCCCACATGGCGACCGAACCCAAGAGACTGAAGTGTTGCCAGGCTGAGTCTCTACACGCAGCAGTAGTGTTTAAGTCACCATCAATAGTTGTAAATACTCTTGCAAAAACATGCGTATAAACATGATTCGGCTAGCCTCATTCTTTAATGTGAAAGGACTGGGAACAGGCCACGACACAGCCCAAATTTTACAACAAACAAATACACAAACACACGCATCTTTTAAGGGGTCTGTGGCATGTCTGTAGTAAAGCTCTGGTTTTGTCTGCTGACACACCCACACAGATCTGACAAAGGACCATCAGTGATGTCCCAGGACTCACATATTCAAACACAACCAGGGCACTTATTCAAATACAGCTACTAGCAAGCACGCTACTCTGTGCAATGCGGTCAAAACTGGACAAAAAGTTCTGGAGCTCAACATGTAATAGGTTTCATAGATTTACAGGCCGCTTTAATTTCCATTAAAATCCCCACGGTTTGGTAATTGTGTCATATTAATACTAAAGTATTCTGAAACATATATTAGCATATATTCAAACTATTCCATGCCATTTACATTGGTGGTTCTCAACTGGTGAGTTACACGTCTGTTCTGATCGGGGGTCACAGACATCAGGCAAAACTAATATAACAAAATTAAAGCATACAAGCATGCATAGTCATAACAACAAAAATGCTATTTTGTGATGTTTTGTTGTTGACGTCAAAGGCTGTGCGTCCGATCAATCTTTACAGTACTACAAATTCCCCATCACTATGGCTAATACTAAAATAACATTTATTTTGTATATTTGTATATTAATGTGTTTGGCTGGTAAATCACTTCAGCTGTTGGTTATGCATTATGCATTGTCAATTTTCCTATTCAGCCAATGTCATGTTAATCATTTTGCATATTGCTTGATCTATGCAGCTCGTTTAATACATTTCAGTGTTTGATTTAATATTTGTCAAATCTGGCTTCTGAGGCAAAACCAGTTGAGAAACATGATGCAAATTATTAGATTGTGATGAATATCTAAACCATCTTAATGCATATGAATAATATTAATAATAATACTAGAAACACACTTAAATACAAGTCTCAAATGTGACTGCAGTACATTATCTAAAACAAAAACAAGACTCTAAGTCTTTGGTTTAGTAATGGTAATACTGAGATATTTTGAAAACATAGTGAATTGGTACTGCATGGTACTTCAAAGAATACCATTGCATTAGCATAATCATGGTATATTTTTTATAATAACAGCATGTTATTTTTGTAATAATAATAATAATAAAACTAACTTCTGCAGAGTTTCTTAAAGTATATACACGCATCTACACAAGGCTTTTGGAGTGTTGATCGAATCCTAGAAGATTTGGAAAAGTTTGATTCTGCCCCGTTTCGCTCCCCTGGTTGCTATGACGATGAAAAGCGCGAAAGAACGCTTTCATGTGGCGCGCTCTGCACCAGACAGACCTGCAGGAACGGACCTCGCGCCTCGTGCATGTGGAGTTAAAATGATCTTAGTAAACGGAAACCATCGAGAAGCATTCATCCGATCGAAGTGCTTAAGAAATAAACTGCAGAATATGAAGCAGCTGCTTCAAAAACAAAGAATAAGCCTGATGCAGGTGTGATGAAATACTGACCCATATAGAGCATGCAGAACGACTTCTTTCTAGATTGTGTGCAACTATATGCGATTATATGTTAAACAAACAAATCACTGCTATACAGAATAATAAAAAACGATTAAAAAAGCTCACTGTTTTTGAATCCAGCTCGTGTCTGTTTTGGGCCAAAACATTATCCACACCGGTCTGGTCTACGTAGGTGACAAATCCAAACCCCCTGCGCAAAAGCATAACATTACGCATAAGAATTAAGTTACAAACACACAAACAAACAAGTCAGCAGCGGATGTGCGCACGCCTCCCCCTCACCTCGACCGCTTCGTAACCGGATCCCGCATCACCATACACTCCTTCACCTCGCCGAATTTACAAAAGTATTCCTTCAGCCCCTCTGGAGAAAGAAAAACACAATGCATTTATTTCATAACAGCAGTTTAGTGACGCAAATCATGTTTGATGTACCTCAAACAAAAAGCTTGCTGCTACTAGATCAGCATTGAGACTTTCCATCCGTGACCAATTTGCATCTCAACAATAGTGCTCATTATAAAGCTCTGGTAAGCATTCTTATTATAATGTTCTAAGCTAAGCTGAGTATTTGAATAACAACACAGGCATGCATAGTGCGCATGCAACCAGAGATTTTCCACACTGCATGTTGCATTTATTCAACCACATCAGTGCTTCCTCAATAGCGCCCTTGCTTTCACCTCAAATCACCACCAGCTCACTATATATATATATATATATATATATATATATATATATCGTCTGGAGTTTTCGAGGAAGTATTGCAAGTGAAGTTTTAAGATAAAACAGCCCATTGATCTATAAATATTCACCTATGTAAACGATATAGCTATAACGCATTAGGCTCGTGCTTTGAATGCACGCTTTGATTTCACGGAAACTATTTGCTTTCTGTTTCTAACCAAACAATCATAGAAAGAAGAAATGCTCCTACGAGCTCACAGCAACCCATGCATTAGACTTTTTGTGGAAGTAGCACGCAGGACAGAAGATCACGCGTGTCTCACCTTGTGTCGTCTGCCAGCTCAACCCGCCGATGAACATTTTGCTGAAAGGTGAAAAAGAGAGTCAGATCAGACATCTGAAAGTCTTCTGAAACGCGATTGATTACTGGTGCATGTGTAAATACAGTAATCAACACCCTAAAATCGTAATAAATCAAGTGGAAAAGTGAAATTCGGCCATGATGGATGGATGGGTGCCGTTATTTCCAATCCAAACGCAGAATTGATTCTTTCCTCTCCGTTAAAAAGTAACAAGTTCGATCATCCCCGTTTGAAAAAGCGAAATGGAATGTAATAACATAATGTGTTGGAAAAATGTAACACTTCCAATTGTAACAGATGGAAACAATGTAACAGCGCGCGTCCTGGAAAGAGGGAACATGGAAACAATGTAACAGTGAGGCTCCTGGCTGTTACGTTGTTTCCATTTTCGCTCTTTCGTAAAGGAACCCGCGCTTGTGTCTTTTGTCTCCGGTGGTCTCTTTCCTCCTGGTCCCAAAACTCTCAGGTTTAAATGAATAGATGTATATATAGATCTCCCGTTCGCGAGGAAAAGCCGAACGGAGCGCGCAGAGAGGAAGCTTTACCAGGGGTCGTGTGGGGAGTCCTGCGTGGAGGACGACAGGCTGCTCTGACTCCCTTCTGTGTCCATTCCCGTGTCCCTCTGTTGCCCGGACTGTGAGCCGAACGGGAGCCAGGACTCTCCAACTCAAGAGCGGGTGGCCCGAGGGGGTGGGGGAGGGAGGGTCCGTCTGGAGGAGGACGGGCCAGGCGTTTATTGTGCACACACTGAGGCACCGCCTCCCGTTTGACTTTTCCCGGACTCTAGTAGTTTGCTCCGCCCCTCTTTCTCCCCGGCCCCGCCCGCTTTCATCTGCTGTCGTACAGTAGCGGAGCAGAAACGTGGTCTGTCTGAAGAAAGAGAAAGCCAGCCAGCCAGCCAGACAGACAGACAGACAGACAAACAAACGGACAGACAAACAGACAGACAGACAGATAGATGATAGATAGATAGATAGATAGATAGATAGATAGATAGATAGATAGATAGAATAAAAAAGGTGATGACCAATAGATAGATAGATAGATAGAGAGTAACACTGTTGTGTCTATTGTGTGTACCACCAACCAAACCAACCCAGCGCTGTCTATAGACAAGCAGCATCCAATATCATACAGCATCAGGCTAAGTTTTGGTGATTGGTAGTCTGGATTCCTGCAGGCCTGAATTGGCACTAAGTCAGGACCAGGTGATTGGTGGTTTGCATGAGTGGGTGGGGCCAACAGACTGACCACAACCATTTGTAGTCCTCAGGGAGGTGTGCATTGTTCCTCATAAACAACAGCATCTCACGTGGTATTGTTGTCATTTTAATGTGATTTGTTGAAAATAAATAAGTACTGACATGCAGAGGGCAGGCTGGAAAAATAGTCTAATAATTTGGAATATTAAAGCCCGTTTCAAAATATATTTACTGTCTCTGAACACATTTACTTTAAAACATAATTTAAAAATGAACAACTATGTGCTTCACAAAACATCTCATAAGTAAATAAAATGTGGATTTTATGTTTCCCAATTTGTTAACGTCAATAAAGCACAAGAAAAAATGACATCTGTATGCAAAAAGCATGCATCTCTATGACATCTATATTAAATCATATTATTATCCAAAGCAACTTGAGGAAAAGCAAAAGCAATTTATCATACAAAAGCCAACAATATCAGCAGTTATTTTAAGAGCACAAAAGCTAGAGCAGAAATGCACCTGCAAGTACAACTTAGATATATGAAACCTGATATTTCAGTGGAAGACAAGAAAACAGATGCAAAGTGAAAATCTGAATTATCAGATTCAAAATAAAACTCATGCTCCAAAAGTTTTGAGAGCAGTTCGTAGGCCGAACAGGTAGGAATGCATGCCACAATTTGTAAAAAATTTGCGTGCTTATGTATCACAGCTCAAGAGTTTGTCAGCGCAGTTGCCGTATGTGTGTGTGTGTGTGCTTGTGTATTTGATTGTGGTCTCAGGATGAGAGAGTGTGTGTGTGTGTGTGTGTGTGTGTTTGTGTGTGTGTGTGTGGAGAAGCAGTATGTAGGACAGCGCCCCAGTGCTCCCGACTGGAGCTATGGGCGTGCTAAATTTCTGCATGCATGATCAATGGCTTTGAATAAAAAGAAAGAGGGAGAGGGGGAGGGGAAGGAATTAGTTTGAAAGGGGGTTGAGAAGAGGCTGAAAACAGAATGATGAGACAAGATGCATTTATGACAAATCTGGACCTCATGCACAGGCCTCATTATGAGAACTGCGCAGCAAAGTACCTGAACAGTGGGTGACAATGACTGATGTACATCTGTTTTCATATGCAACTTTTATTCTTTTGCATTGCTCACGGCTTAAACACTGTCTGGTTGTCGATGAAGCAGGTACTGGAATGGCACAAAAGAGATAATAAGTCATAACACAGATAAATAAGATTAACAGAGCTATGGCATCTTTAAAGAGGGGACTGGGGCTAGTTGTCACAGAGGCTATGAAATTTTGAGTCAGAAGTTCAATTACACAAATGCTTGTTTTCTCTAGCAGTGCATCTAGTTCAAAACTGCCATAAATTGGGATTATTTTTGTGAATTCTGTCTTCTAAAATTACATTCCCATCACATTCAACAACAAAAATAATAAAGGCACACTTTTTAACTGCATGTTAACTGGAAGGCTGAAACGTGTTTCATATGAACACTGTTTCTGCCACAGGATAAAAAAAAGTTTTAATATATAAACTAAATTCTGAAAAGAAAAAACTGAATTGTGAGACATAAACTTG